ACCTGCTGAATACCACCTCTGATGCCGGCCACATGACTATGGAGACATCTTGGGATAGCGCTGGCTCTTTGGCTTCATCACAGAGGTGAGCACCGCCCCCTAGAGCCGGAAATGACTAGCACATATGTGCGAGGGGAAACTTTACCGAAAGATAACTTTGTCGATTTGTCCTTTTCCATTTCCATCTGTTTCATAAGCAATAACCCTCCACAGAAGGCCCATGTTAGACAACGGAATATTCCCAAAGCATCTGCCGCTGTGGCATAAGAGGTTAGCCTTCAATCATTTCTCTTTCTGACTGGGGGAGAAAAAAAAAAGGTCAAACTTCTCACTGGGTTTTGCCTCCATCTATAAAAGTTAAAGACATCCGGTTTCCGTGCTCTGTACAGGAACTCCGAACTATATGCAATCAAACAAAGCCATAAAGTTGGTTCTTCCTCTCTCTCTTTTTTTTTTTTTTAATGATTAATGGCTTCTATGCACAAGGTAGTACCACAGTGAATTTGTTACAGTAGAATCATCTGGGCAGGAAGAAAAGTGGGGAATGCCCAGGAACCCCTTTTCGGCAGTTTACAGGTAATCCTTGACTTACAACAATTCATGGCCTGATCATTCTAAGTTATGACAGCACTGAAAAAGGTGACTTACGTCCGTTTTTCACACTTAGTGACCACTGCAGCTTCCCCCCAAGAACATGTGATCAAAATGTGGACGCTTGTCAAATGTATTTATGACGATGGCAGTGTCCCTTCTTGTGACTTTCTGACAAGTGAAGAGAACGGGAAGACTCCATTTAACAAGCCTGTTAACTAACTCAGCAAGTGCTTAACATCTTTTGGCAAGAAAGGTCATAAAGGGGTAACACTCACTTAAACGTTTCCCTTAGCAACAGACATTTTGGGCTCGGTTGTGGTCGTAAGTCGAGGACTACCTGCCTCGAAGCAGACAAGGTTCGTTCTTAACCTATGAAGAGTTTTCACGGTGCAAGACTAAATTGTACACTAAGAGCTACAAGGGAGGGGGGGGGGGGAATGAAATTTCTGATCCAGTGCAATGAACTCCACATGTGTTGTGGGGTGACAGGGGGGGGAAATATCTCTGGGACACATACACCAAATGCACACAAAAGAACTGCCACATTTCCTTTCAAAATAGCTAAGAGAGACAAAGGAAGGAACGATCAAAAGAAGCCTTTCCCTTAGTCACAATCCCGTCCTTTACAGAGTGACGCCGAAGAGCCTTCGCTCTTGGTCAGTTAAAGAGGGAAAGCTCCAATCCTTGGTACATCAAGAAAATCTTAGGTTCAGGCTGAGCTTCACAAACTGTCTTGCTGAGAGGTGGGCAGCTAAAAGCAACCTGTGGACTTCAACTCCAACTTGACACAATAGCAGTGTTCCAGTATCTCAGGGGCTGCCAGAAAAGAAGAGGGAGTCAAACTGTTCTCCAAACAAAGGAAACCTTGAGGACATCAGATGTCCAAAACTGAGTGACAAGGTCAGAGTAGGATACTAGTTGGCAGTTATGGAGTTACAGATCTGGATGTATGTGGCATGGAAGGCAGCGTACAAATGAGATTTTCTCATCGTCTCCTTCCAAAACAACCCCGTAAACATTTTCAATCCAAAAATACCACTTGCAGTTAGCCCTGGAACAAAGAGGGGGGAAAAAAATTCTAACTTACGGATAACAAAACTTGATGGGAAAAAAAAACAGAGTTTAAATTGGGGAGGTGACTTAAGAAAGGCTGTGCTTCTATCTGACTTGATTTGTTCAGCCTGATTTTCTATAAAACATATAAAGAATGGTTGCAGGAATTGGGTGTATCTACTTTAATGAAAAGAAGGACTAAGGGAGACATGATAGCCAGGGGTGGGATTCAAATTTTTTAACAACCGGTTCTGTGGGCATGGCTTAATTGGTGGACGTGGCTTGGTGGTCATGATAGTGGCGGGGTGTGGCCAACTCAATATCACTCACATCGAGGCACGCATCTCCTCGCATGGCCTCTCATGACTGTGGAGATGCTGCAACAGTCGTTAAGTGTGCAAAAGGGTCATAAGTCACTTTTTTCAGTGCCATTGTAACTTTGAATGGTCACTCCACACAAGCAAAGTACCAGCAAAGGAGAGGAAAAAAACTCAAGAGAAATTCCAGAGACAGGAAGTCTAGTCCTGCCAAAAATGTAATAAGGGTCAACAGAAAGGCAGTTTCTATAAGCAACACCAGAATGTTTCCTTCCTGCCTTCCTTACAGGATTAGGCCAGTAATTTCTTCTAACAACCGGTTTTCCAAATTTCTTAGAATGTTAACAACTGGTTCTAGTGAATAGGTGCAAACTGGTAGAATCCCATCCCTGATGATAGCAGTCTTCCAGTATTTGAGGGGCTACCACAAAAAAGGAGTCAAGCTATTCTCCAAAATACCCAAAGGCAGGACAAGAAACCATGGATGGAAACTAATCAAGGAGAGAAGCAAGTTAGAACTAAGGAGAAATTTCCTGACTGTTAGAACAATTAATCAGTGGAACAACTTGCCTCCACAAGTTGTAAATGCCCCAACATTAAAAGTTTTTAATGAAGAGACTGAACAACCATTTGTCTGAAATGCGATAGGGTTTTCTGTCTGAGCAAGGGGTTGGACTAGAAGACCTTCAAGGTCCCTTCCAACTCTTTTATTTTAATTCTAACTTCAGATGCCCCTGGAGTTCTGGGAGTTGAAGTCCACAGGTCTTAAAGCTGCATAGTTGACCACCTCTGATCTGGTTTAATCCCTGATGTGATACAAAGCGAACTCTCATCCCCCACTCTTCCCTTTTAAGATCCCAAAAAGGTTCTCTACTTAGTTGAGGCACAGAACATAGTGGTCAATTGAATAAGGAAAAGCAACTTTTTTTTTAAAAAAAATGGCATATTTCATGGCATATCCAGAATCCCAACTATTGTTGGGGCAGAATCAAGACTATTGATAACCATGGTTCAAAAGCAACAGTACTGACCATTAAGTACCATTAAGTATTCTGTATCCTAAAAGGATGTTCTTGAAAGAGAGATTGTCATAAACCTGTCCCCCGTACCGTACACCGTACTTGCAAATTATCACGAGTAAAAAGCCAAAAATTAAATGCATCCCTTAAAGCTAATTGTGCTCCTGGTTTGAACAGATCATCTCCCTTTGCTTGGGAAGATTGGAGCCACGACTGCCTTGCCTCCTATCCTTATAGAGAAAGAGAGGGGGGGCAGAGTGTAAAGTGCGAAACGTACCAAAAAGGAGAGAAAGCATTTGACAGCATTGAAACCACACAAGCTTAGGAGGGGGTGCAGGAGAGACCAATTGCCTGAGGGAGAACCCCAGTTCTTGTGTAATTCCCATGGAAGTGTAACTCCAAATAAACCCTTGGCGGGGGGAGGAAACACAGCTAGGAGAGAGAATTCAGAAACCCATTTGTGAACCTGAAACCAACTTAAAGCTTGCTGTTCCTCCAATAAAGCCCTTAGAAGCTTTATGGCTTCAGGCCACTGAAGCCAACGGCCATCTTATTTGCACTGGAATTAAGATCAAAGTCTGATGATAAATAGGACTTTCTGCCTGAAGCCACCAGCCCTTTCCCTCAGCTTCCACACAGGCAGCAACTGGGATTTGTTAGCTTGTACAGTATGCAAAAGCTAAGGTGGTTGCATGGTTGAGGCAGGCCGTGGCATTAATAGTGTCCGAAGTGTTGTTGGGAAAACGGTAATCTCTGTGGCTGGCTCTTTATAGTAGGACAATGCTAAACATTGCGGAATGAGATCTCTCCAGAATACAAGCCAACCTGGGTGGCAGGCAAATTCCCTGGTGGGTTTTTGTTTTGCTTTTGGTGTACGTGTGTGGGTGTTTGTGTGTTTTCTTACAGGTAATTTTCGAACAGCAGTTACCAATGCTAGCTCATAGACACAAATACTGCGGTGAGTGGGTGGCTGTTGAGTTCTCTGTTCCCCTTTTTCACAGTGCTCGCTTTCTATTCTTAAGGCCACTTTTTGCCAACCTTTATCTTTTTCCTGCGCAAAGCTATTCCCATTCCAGATTTTTGATAGCGCCTCGGTCGGAAGGAAGCCACAAAAATTGTGCACCCAGGGGCGTGACTTCAAAGAACTGATTTTCTAGAATTTTCTTTAAAAAAACACACACACACACGCACACTCCACCAAGGCTCGGTTGGGAAGGCTGTGAACCAAACCACAAGCTGCCCCACTCCTTCCTCCTTGGCCTCGCTTCATTTGCTGCGATGTCTGAATGAGGCAATCTGTGGTCACCGCTCATCTTCAAAACTTTGCTTTTGACAGGATTGGTTACCTTGCGGTTTGCCTGGCATTGGTGTAACTGTAAATGCTACTTGGGTAAAAGGTGACCACAGAAGAAGCAATTGGAACAACGTGGGATGAAAGCAGGGGATTCTGTGCCACATTTCTTGATCTGGCTTTGCGGGTGATCCTGGTGTGGTTTGCCGGCAGCAGGTGCGGACGGCTGAGGTCTCGGAGAGCGAGGACTCGGATGAGGGGCCTGCGTGTGATGCAGGGATGGGGCCAGGTCCATCAGGGTGTAGAATGCTGCTTTCGGAGTTTGTGGAGGCTGGCAGCAGTGTTGAAGAGGTCCCCGAGGAGCCTGTGCCCAGTGTGCATACGTTCACAGGGCTGCTTGAAGGAAAGAGCAGCTGCAGCAGCATGGGCGACTCAGGAGTAAGGCTGCAAGGTAATGGCCCCTTTCCTTAAGAGATAAAAGCCAGCTGAGAAACCGGAGTTCTTTGCAGGAAGCAAAGAAGTTTTTGTACTCAAGCCTTGTGGACGTTTGGAGTTATCTTGGTTGGTGTTTGGAGACTCTTTGTGTTTGAAATATTTCTTGGCAACTTTATCTAGTGTTCTTGGCAGCCTTGCACCACCTTGGCAAGGCTCCTCCTTATCAGAGACAATTCGTTTGAGGCTTTTAACCATGAAGGAACGGAATTCGTAAAGAACCATTAAAAAAGTTTTGCTGTTACCTCTGTTTCGTGTTTGTTTCCTTGGAACAAGGTTTGGGTCAGAACAGATCCAAGCCCGTGAATTTATAGAGTGGTGTTCAGACCCTGCTTTAGGTGGGTGGGTGGGTGGGTGGGGAGCACTGTGTGCTAAGGACAGGCCTTACTGTTCGATATGGGTAAAGTCGTAGCAGAAATTTAAGTTGCTGGGAGGCTTTGGGATGTCGGGTGGGGCATCCGGAATGGTAATGTTCTCCAGATCCAATAGTCGCAATTTGAGCTCCATGGACAGCAAGATATCCAGGTCGGTCTGCATCCTTTCGCTGATCATCTCCCGGCCGAGAAGCACGTTCAGCCCATCAGTCCACAAGCAGAACTGAGAAAAAAGAGGATACATTTCATCAGAAGTTGTGCCCAACCTTCAGTTAAACACACGGAAGGAGAGCAAGACTTAAACACGGGCAAGTTTTGTTTTAAACCTGGGCTACAGCAGCCGGACTCACACAACCCATTGTTTCCCACGTTTAATCATCCTGCCAAGGGCTCGACTATACCAGGCAGATCGTCATCAGCAAGTTCCGTATTATACCAAAGTAAAACAAGCCAAGCGTGGCCTCGTGCCAGATGCAAAAACCTAGTTAGACAAGAGCAGACTTGAGACTTTCAAGAAGATATTGGACTGCCATTTGTCAGTAATGGTGTAGGGTCTCCCGCTTGGGCAGGGGGTTGGACTAGATGACCTACAAGGTCCCTTCCAACTCTGATTATCTATTTATCAGAAACCAGAACATATCTTTAAAAAAAAAAAGCAAAGCTGAGAAGATGCAATTTTCAGCAAACTGGAAGAATTGAACACTTTCCTATACTATTAACTTACCTCCGCAGTCTTCTCTTGACTCAATCTTCCCAAAACACAGAATATTTTGAACTAGGTTGATTTTATAGTATTGTATTTATATTATTATAAATGACAGAGTTTTATCTTTTAATGTGTAAGCCACCCAGAGTTACCATGTGGCAAGATAGGCAGATAATAAATTTTACAAATAAAGAAATAAACAAATAAAATTCCCACCTCTTTGTAAGGTCAAAGTTGACTTGTTTTCCAAAGTTCGCAACGTCACAAAACTAACTGCAAGACCGAGTTTATCAGAAGGTTTATGCTTATCAGCATCTTATTTCAGGTGCAGACAGAATGTCCCAAAGTTATTTTCATATTTGGCATAGAGAAGAGGTCTTTCTCTGGCTGGAGAATTCTGGGAGTTGAAGTCCACAAGTCTTAAAGTTGCCAAATTTGGGGACCCCTGGCATAGAGAATCTGGGGGAACTCTTTATAACCCAGCTGGGATGTTCTGTTTCCCTGCAGTGACTCACCTCATAACGTGTTGAGGCGATGAAATTCAGGTGCTCTCCAACGTCGTAACTTATGGAAAATGCCAGGTCGAGAAGATCCTGAGAGGAGGGAAATAAGTGTTTTAGGACAGGAAGCAGGATGGTTAATGGAAGAACTGTTGCTGGCAGAATGAATTGGGGTTGTTTTTTTAGGGTACGGCAGGAACTCAGACATCATCTT